TTTTATAGTTAACATTGTAAACTAATTTTTCTCATAATTAACACTTTCTAAATTCCTTCTACAATTCAAAACCTGCACAAAACCTAAAAGTTTAACGGCCGATCACGTGCACGTTAATTTCCGTTAGCTGTTGTGTTGCATGGCACATGCAAGTCCATTGGGACATTATGTGGTCATTTTTTCTAAGGGTGGTGCTATAGGGACAATTTTTTTATCCTACCTTTTGATACAACTTTCACATGTCATTAAATGTGTTGATGCATTCAATATCACATGATCTACATGAATAAAAAAACCAATCATACAAATGACATAGACCTAGCAAACGGGCGGGTTGGGTCAGGTTAGGGTCGAGTCAGAACGGGTAACGGGTCAAAACAGGTTGGGTTAAAACAGGTCACAAGTCAATGAAGGTAGATCTTAACCTGCCCATCACGGGTCACGGGTCAACCTGCGGGTTGACCCAATTAAATTTTTTTTCTTTTTTTTTTCTTTATAATTTGTACCTATTATCATTCAAAGAAAATTATTCAAAAGATTTAAAAAAGAAATTTAAAATCTTATAAAAATAATTTTTTTATTAATTTAATATATACATATTTATAGTTCCTTAGAATCACTTTCTTTATTTCCCTTCAAAGAACAACACTAATCAAATTCAAGAACACAACACTTATAAATCTCAATAGCGAAAAAAAAAGAAAAGAAAAGCAGTACTAGCATGACAACCAAAAAACACAAACCCCATTAGAACATATTTGTTTTGGTCATTGCTTTCAAAGAATAATTAATTGAATGCATCTAAGTAAGTAAAGGAGAAAATCAAGTAAAATTTTTACTTGGAATGGAAAGAAAACTAAAACGCATAAATAAGTAAACGACTTACCTTGAAGTATTTAGAGAAAAAAGTTGGTGACAAAAAGAGCACTTGCCGGACTCATCGGAGAAAAAAAGAAAAGGCTGAGTGGACGCAACAGTGACTCAATAAGACAAAGATCTAAGTCTGAAATAATGTTAAAGACTAAAAAGAAAAGGTGGAGTTGAAACTTGAAAGTCAAAGGCTGTATGAACTATGGAAGTTGAAGAATATAAAAAGAGTTTGAAGTTTGAAAAGTTAGAGCCTTCGAGAGTATTAGGGCAAGCAAGAATAGGAAAGGTCGGGAGGTGAGTTATGAGTGGAGTGGGATTATTTTTACTTCTAGAAGATGATGAGTCAAGAGAATTAATTAGTTAATTAGGGAATATTAGTCAATTATTAGAGATTTAGGTGGGATTGGAAATTGGAAAACAAAATAAATAAATAATAAATTAAAAAATTTTATATTTTTAAACGGGTAAACGGGTCAAACCCGTTAACTTGATGGGTCAACCCGTTATTGATCCGTGACCCGTTGGGTTCTCTTAACGAGTCATTAACGGGTTACGGGTCATAAATATATGACACTAACCCGTTTTAAACGGGCGGGTAATGGACGGGTTAAAGGGTTGGGTAAAAAATTGCCAAGTATAAAATGACACATCAAGTTATACAAAAAGGTGAGACAAAAAATTAGACAAAAAGGTTGTCCCAAAATCATTTCCCTTTTTCTAATATGGCGACTTTTTTTTTTTTATGACATGGCTGCCACATGTGCATGGACCCTAGGACTGGCGGGAGTTTTCTCACCTTCCACCATGATTTTAGCAAATAATAATAATAATAATAAACAACATAATATTACTTCCATTAAAGAGAACTCAAACAAGCCTTTAATGGCTGCCTTTGAAAACCCCTCCACCAAGCTATGGCCAAAAAAAAAAAAGACCTTACCAAACTCAACCTCCCCTCACCCATTTCACAAATTCACCATACCAATCTATTATTTTCTAAATTACCCTCCATTAAACCTTAAAGTTACCAAAATGTACCATTTTCCTTTTCTTCTTCCTCAACTTATTGTGCAAAATCCCATTCACACGTCTTTACATCTTAACCAAGTTAGTTAGATAAATTGGTTTAGGGTAGAAGTAAGACAATTTGGTTCCTTGCGCTAGAAACCCAAGAAACCTAGATCTGCGTTCCCTCACAATGAAAAATGCAGCCAAATTCATATACCAAAACTAACATAATTTGCCAACATAAGAAAACTACTGTAAGAGAGAACCTTGATGAAAACGCATGTAGTAACATAAATTGTGTTTGTTCAGTTTAATTGGAACAAAAGAGGAGTATGGATTATGTCAAACAAATTAAGCACAATTTTAGTATAATAGAACCAGCTAATTCTTGTAAATGCCTATGCCTTTCTATATTAGCTGAGCTTTCTTCTTGCTGTGCACAATAATATTAAACTAAAAATTCCATTTTTCTTCCTCCCTTTCCCTCTACTTTCCCAGCAACCAATTAGGCTACTTCACCATGAAGAGACTAATTACCCCAAAATTAACAAAATGAATCAAACCGTCAATACCCAAATCAATCAAATTCAGACCCAAAAGTTAAATAAAACAAAAATCAAGATGCAAACTTGAATGTCCATCGTAAATCCTACAAAAAAAATTAAAGACCAAAACAATACCAAGAACATCCTGTTAACAATAACAAAGATTATTGGTGGAACTGCAAGAGAACCAAGATTACAGAAAGACGACTAGAAGGAAAGAGTAGAACCAAACAAAAGGGAGTAACAATAATTACAGACATGTCGAGATTTTCGATCTCGAGTCGAAGGTTTTTTACTTGATCTCAAGAAATTCAAGTAGGGTTGATAGGAAGAAGGGGAAAGCAAAGATTCTTGAAGAAGCTAAATCTTAAATCTCCAAAAAGGGGGAAATTTTGCACAGATTTTGAAGGTGCATTTTTTTTTTTTTTGGTCAGTGATGTGGCCATGCACATGTGGTAGCCACATCATAAAAAAAGGTTGCTACATTTGAAAAAAGTAGCGCCTAATGTCCCAGGCAACTTGCTTGTGCCATGCAATACAACAGCTAACAAAAATTAACATGCACGTGATTGACATATGATCGATACCTCGTGATAGTTTTGGTTTTTTTTTTTTAGTTTTAAATTATGAAAGGTGTTGATTGAGAGAAAAATTAATTTAGGATGTTAATTGTAAAAAAAAAAAATTTAGGGATAAATAGAAAGTTTGGCCAAAATTAAGAGTGAAAAATAGAAGAAAAATGGATTTGGACAAGAAGGGTTGTAATCAATTTGGAAGCTATTACCCTAAAATTATGTTAGTGAGACATTGTGTTAGAAAATTGAATGAAGGCATGTTACTTGTTTTTGTAAGAAACATTTTTTAAGAAACATTTAAAAAAAAAAAAAAAAGATTTTGCTAACGGTCTTTTTCTTCCACTTGATTTTTCTTTATAAGTTGTTGAAAGAACATCGTTTATGTAAAAGTAGTGTAAAAGTACATATCGTTTAAGACGGCTAGCCAAAAATGAGGGATGAATTTGTGTAAGAGCTTGAAAATGCCTTGAAAGTACATCAGAGGCTTTATTAAAGGTGAGATGTATTAATAAAAATAAACTAAAATATGCGTAATTACGAATGCTAAGGAAACTAAGAGGCAGAGAAGTAATATTTGGAAAAGTAACTAGTCAGAAACGTAAAGTTCAGGAAAAATTAGTTCTAAGAGAAATAAAGTAAATTGAAAGATGAAATTGACTTTTATTAAATGAAATAAAAGTCTTAATAAAGAACGAAAATTAACAAACTAACATTAAACAAAACAATTTGTATCAAGAAAGATGTTTAGAAAGAAGTTCAATAGAAGTAATCAACCATTTAAAATTCAACCACAAGAAGGCTGATCTTACCAAAAACACAATAACAAGATGAGGAGAATTCCCATTAGGGAGGTTGTACTACTTCTACATGCCTGAGAATTTATGCTGAGGTCAGCTTTAATTTCTAGCAGAAATGGGTAAGTAACTAGAAGGACTAGGAAACTAAAATAAAAGGATGTTAGTGCATGTTTAAATGCATTGTTGGGTTTTTGACAAGAAGGTAGACCTAACACTACTAGAAAACCTCAAATCACT